ATTTTATTAATAGTATGTTAATTTTGTATCCCACAACCTTACTGAATTCATTTATCAGTTCTAACAGTTTTTTGATGGAGTCTTTAGATTTTTCTAAATATAAGATCATGTCATCTGCTAACAAGGCTAATTTGACTTCTTCCTTTCCAATTTTGATGCCTTTTATTTCTTTTGCCTAATTGCTCAGGCTAGAACTTCAAGTACTATGTTGAATAAAAGTAGTGGAAGTAGGCATCCTTGTCTTGTTCCAGATCTTAGAGGAAAGACTTTCAGTTTTTTCCTTTCAGTATGATATTAGTTGTGGTTTTGTCATAAATGGCCTTTATTGTTTTGAGGTATGTTCCTTCCAACCCAGTTTATGAAGAGTTTTTATCGTAAAATGATGTTGAATGTTTTGAATGCTTTTTCAGCATCTATTGTAATGATTATGTGGTTTTTCTCCTTCATTCCATTAGTGTGATGTATCACATTTATTGATTTGCATATGTTGAACCATCCTTGTCTCCATGGGATACATCCCACATGAGCATGGTGAATGATTTTTTCATGTGTTGTTGTATTCAGTTTCTTAGTATTTTCTTGAGGATTTTTACATCTATGTTCATCAGGGATGTTGGCCTATAGTTTTCTTTTTTTATTGTGTACTTGTCTGGTTTTGGTATCAGGGTAATGCTAGCCTTGTAGAATGAGTCTTGAAGTATTCCCTCCTCTTCAGATTTTTGGAATAGTTTGAGTAGAATTGGTATTAGTTCTTTAAATGTTTGCTATAATTCAGAAGTGAAGCCATCACGTCCTGGGATTATCTTTGATGGAAGACTTTTTATTACTCTTTTGATCTTACTACTCATCATTTATCTGTTCTGTCCAGGTGTTTTATTTCATCATGGTTCAATCTTGGTAGGTTGTATATGTCCAGGAATTTATCCATTTCTTCTATTTTTCAATTTATTGGTATGTAGTTCATGATAGTTTCTAATAATCTTTTGTATTTATGTGGTACCAGTCTCCTTTTTTGTTTCTGCTTTTATTTATTTGAGTCTTCTTTCTTTTTTTCCTGGTTAGTTTAGCTAACAGTTTGGCAATTTTGTTTATCTTTTTAAACAAGCTTCTTTTCAATTCATTGATCTTATATATTTATTTTTTAGTCTCAATTTCATTTATTTCTGCTTTGACCTTTATTTTGTCCTTTTTCCCTACAAATTTTGGGCTTGGTTTATTCTTGCTTTGTTCATTCCTTGAGATGTGTCATTAGGCTGTTTATTTCAAATCTTTCTGCTTTTTTTTTCACCTATATATTTTTTATTTCAGAATATTATGGGGGTGCAAACACTTTGGTTACATAAATTGCCTTTTCACCACCCAAGTTAGAGCTACAAGCATGCCCATACCCCAGACAGTGCTCATTGCACAC